TTAGAGTGAGCTTTGATCGTTTCAAGCCAAGTCGAAGCGCTTTGAAACCAAAGTTAATGCGGAGGGGGTAAACACGGGAGTGTGAAAAATTGCTTGCGCGTCTTGCTAGTAGGCTTATAGTGGGTACGGCAAGTAGATTCTTAACAGGGGCAAACAGCAAGAGGCTAGTGTGAACGATGGAGAACCTTAAAGTGAAGGAACTCATCGAAATTTGTGAGGAACTCGGCATTACTTTGGGCCGTGCGAAACGCAAGCAAGCGATCCTTGCGATCATGAAGGATGAGGGAGTGTCGGCTGAGGAAGTCGATGAGGCCTGGGTGGATATTAAAGCACGCCGTGAGGAGGCTGAAAGGCGAGAAGTAGAAGCTCGCGAACGTGAGGAGGCTGAAAGGAGAGAAGCTCGTGAAGAAGCTGAAAGGCGCGAAGCTCGCGAAGAAGCTGAAAGGCGCGAAGCTCGCGAACGTGAAGAAGCTGAAAGGCGCGAACGTCGCGAGGAGGCCGAGAGACAGGAGCGTCTCGAGTTGAAACGACTAGAATTGGCAATCCTACAGTGTTCGCAGGCGCCTAGCGTAGCTTCTCAGGTCAGCGGTTTTAGAATTCGGGACCAACTGCCACCGTTCGTAGTAGGCGAGGACATAGCGAAGTATCTCGTCAAGTTTGAACACGTCTGTGAGCGAAACGCTTTGGAGCGGTCTCTTTGGGCGCAGAACCTGTTAGCTCTTCTTCCCGGCGAAGTGTCCGACGCGATAACTTGCTTGTCGAGGGAAGCGTTTGAGAGCTATGACGAGGTTAAGGAAGTGCTCTTAAGACGTTATAAGTTGTCACCTGAGGCTTTCAGGCAAAGGTTCCGGTATGCTGAAAAGGGGAATGAGTCACACGTTGACTTCGCGTTTCGTCTTAAAGCCGATTTAATTGAATGGCTCAAGGGCGAAGGTGTTTATGATGACCGCGATAAAGTGGTGGAATGCGTTGCATTGGAGCAATTCTACCGCTGCATCGAGGATAATGTCAGACTTTGGCTGCAGGACAGACTTGGTGAAGTACAGCTAAACAAGGCAGCAGAGTTAGCTGAGGAGTATTATACTCGCCGAAAGTTGCACAGCAGGGCAGTGCGCGTTGAAAAGGATGAGAGAAAACATGGCTTTTCAAAGAAACCTGATCAACGGAGACCCGCTCCGCATCGTAATTTCAAGAAGGACCCGTCTCTTACGAAGGACAGTGTAGGGGAAGGGCAAACAGAAGCGGAGAAATCGAGTGAGGTTTCTACCACACAGGCATTTGAATCGGAAAACAAACGAAAGCCGCTAATCTGCTACAACTGCAAAAAGGAAGGACACATCGCGAGAAACTGTCAGGAAAAATTTGCCTTCGCAACAATCCGAGAATCAGAAAAAAACATTCGGTTGTTGGAGCCGTATCTCCAAGAAATTAGGGTCAATGAGAAAACGTGCCGAGCACTTAGAGACTCAGCGGCAACCATGGACTTTGTCCATCCTTCATTGGTGTCTCCGGATGACTTCACAGGAGAATGCGCGTGGATTAGGCAAGTCGCCGAGGTGCAGAGTGTTCGCTTACCAATCGCCACGGTTGTCATTGAAGGCCCGTTCGGTAAGCTTCGCACCGAAGCAGCTGTGTCTGCCGCGCTAAATGATCGTTTTCCTTATCTTTTCTCCAACAACTCGGAGCAGCTCCTCAAAGAGCAGGGCAAATCGTTCTTCCCCAGCTTTGCGTGCATGGCCCTCACGCGATCGCAAGCGCGAAAGCTTTCGCGGAGGCTGGACCTGGTTCCATGCAGTAAACTCTGAAGTGACCTTGTCGGCGGGTCGACGGAACCTCAGAGAGGAAATTTTCCGCGTGAGTCATGTGAGCAGTCACGCGAGCGGCCCGTCGCGGAAGCGGCCGGCGCGGTATGCGTTGGGGGAGACGACATGGCGCCATTGAATCAGAGCGAGGGGGCTGCAACGCTCTCGCCTGTAGCGGAAAGTTGGAGCGAGCTGCCGAGAGTTGATCGAGAGACGCTCATTCGAGAGCAGCGTGAGGACCTCTCGATTGAAGCGCTAGTGGAAAGCCAGGTTGAAACGCTAGTGGAAAGCCAAATTGAAGCGCTAGTGGAAAGCCAGAAAAACGCGGCAAAAGTGCTGTCGAAGGAGCACTACGAGGAATCGGTGAAGAAGCGCGCTTTTGAAGTTGATAATCAGGTAATGCTGCTGCAGCCGTCCAAAAGGAACAAGCTTGATGTTGATTGGGAAGGGCCCGCCAAAGTAGTATCGAAGCCTTGCGATTCAAATTATGAAGTGAAATTAGGAAGGCGGCCGGACAAAATTTACAACTTGATGAAACCATACGTTCAACATCAAGCGGTCGTAAATCTGTTGATGAATGCTTCAGAGGAAGAGGAAGCAGAAATTTTGAGTTATAGTGAGGTAGTTGAAGGGGGATCGAAAGTAATCCGGGAGCCGATAAACCTAGAGCCTAGCTTAAGTGAAGGAGGACCTGAGAAAGAGGACCTGAGAAAGCTTGGTTCCGAGTTTGAAGACGTGTTTTCGGACCGCCCCGGAAACACGAGGGTGATCGAACACGATATCGAGCTAAGCGGTGAGGAGTCAATCAGTAGCAAGTCGTATCGTTGTTCCCCTGTGCAACGTCGCAAGTGTGAGCCGCTCTTGGTGCCGCATAGGTATCGTCGCCTAAAAGTGGCCGGTTACCGAGGTGGAGCATGTTGCTCCACAGCGCAACTTTGACGTTCGCTAAAGAAAAAAAAAAGGTAAACGTTAATGCAGGTGCATTGAGCAGTGCGTTTAGTTAGTACCTTCTCAACCTTTCGGTTTCTGGCTGGCGATTCGGGGCAAAATTTTGACCTCATCACGACCTGGGCTGAGCGCTCTCGTTTAGAGTGATCTCAAGGGGCCAACTTTGTGGTATTCTAATTCGTTACGTTGTTGTACGTGGGAAAAAAAATTGAGTTGTCATTTTAAGAGTCTTGTGTCCCACATGTGCCTCTTGATGTAGAGGGAACAAAATTTCGATAGACACGTAGATAGGTATATGTTGTACTATACTTTGTCTGGTGTTCTGTCGGGTGACCGAAGGCACTTGCGTGTGTCGTGTGTTGTCTGTTGTCGAACCGTTCTTAGCAAGTTGCAGAACCATCGACAAGTGCTGAAACCGAAGATGGTCAGAAGAGACGAGTGAAGCTGGTCGACAAGTTGTGGCGACAAGCCAGTGGAGCTGGGATCCGTCGTCAAAAATGGGATGTGTTCCCGGAACAGTCTGGAGCTGTATTCTCCCCATGGCCCTGGAGGCGAACCTGGAGGGACCTGGCGAACGAGCGCACCTGACATCCGAGCCCCGTGGAAGCAGCTCGTCTTTCCGGTGCATTGTCTGGCGGCGGGGTTGCTGTTATGCCAGCGAGTCCTCGTCAAACGTCCGTGCCTCGGAAAAAGGCAATCTGGGTCAAGGCCAGCCCGCAGTCTGCCTGGCGCGATCACCTCGACGGCGTGAACACGCGCGGCGCTCCCTGGCCCACGTGCATTGAGTCAGCTGCGCGCGTGACAGCGAGCCGGCGTCCGCGTGTCTGGTGGTCTGACGCATGGCGCGGCGACCCCCATTGGCGGAATCTGCCCTGACGACCAGCGGCGCTTCTGATTGGACATTTTGGTTGGACCCGGTGTAAATAAAAGAAGCCCTGCGGCGTGTCGCGATCGGCGGTCCTATGTGAGAGGCGTCCCCGTGTCGGAGAGCCGACATGTGTGTGAGTCAGCGGTCTTAGGCGAAAGGCTGACCTATGTGTTAGAGAGGAGAGCTCGGCTCTTCGAGTCTCTGTCGGCCCCAGTGCCGAAATTGTAACGCCTCTGTATATATGCTGTACATAAACCTTGTTTAACTCACCGTCGTCTCGTCCGCTCGTCTTATCAGCTCGGCGCAGAAGCAGTCGCGAGCTGAGATACATACGCTACCAAACGGCTGGTGACCTTCCCGGCGGAGTTGAAAGCAGTGGCGCCTTCGAGGCCGTGTTGGCGTCCCCGTCTTTCGCAACAGTGGTGGCTTCGGCGGGATCGGTCCCTCGTTCGCAACAAAGTACACAGCAGTGGGTGGATGACGCTTCGCCTAAACTGCCAAATACGTCTTGTAAAGCTATAACATTGCGGCATATCAAGTCATCTAGCGGTCTTCAGCCTCTTCGAACAAAAACTGCACTTCTTCAGCGCTTCGCGCCACGACATACTACCACGCTGCACGAAGAACGAAACTAAAACTTCAGATGAAGATCCGCAGACAGTTCGCTGGCTATTGCTATTCAATCCGAAGTCTGTACTTTTCATCATTCCCACGGGAACATTGTATGAAACTTTATGACTGCTCTTGTCGAGGCGCTTATACCATGGCCTCCGAGATTGCACGCCGGCACGTAACTCTGACGCCATGCTTCAACTGTGTCGTTGATAAATCATTCTTGGACGGTGCAAGTAAGTGTCAAGCCACATTACTTCTCTTCGTCGCTTACAGACAGCGGCACCACCCAGCCCAGCGAACAGGGAGCATCGAGCGAGAGATACTGTTTAAGAGATATGAGTTGTGTTTGTGGAAGGCTTTTTGTCTTCTCTGATAGCTCATTCGGTATAGCGTCGGGTGCATACCGCCTATAGAGCCGAGGAGTCGGAGGTTGACCCCCGTCCTTGATGTGAAGTTGGAATGCAGTGTGCGCTGAGAGCTGGATCTGATCTTTGCGTACTATTGGTTCAAAAGGGGGTGTCAGCACCGCTCGAAAAATTTGAGTTTGGCCAAACTCGACACATCCTGCATAGCACCTTAGTTTATAAATTTCATGCCGCGAAAAGGGCATCCAACCAGGGTATATTAAATATTTCCCTGGGTGCATAGAATTTCTTTCTTTCTTTCTTTCTTTTTTTCTTTCTTTCTTTCTTTACTGTGATTCGCGTTTTACGAAGCTATTCACGCAGATTTCATATAAGAACTGGAATCATTCATGTTTTTTCCAGCTGAATCGGCCCTCGAGGCTTACAACAATGGAGCGGCAGCAGTTATGGTTTCAACCCACGGAGGAAGGCAGCTCGACGAAGACCTCGCATCGGTGAGAGCCCGCTTGAACTTAATTTGCATTCCTGTCCAACGTGTTGCAAGACTAGGACCAGTTGCTGCGTCGTGTAGATAATGGTTTCGCAACACCACGATCTGTGCCTTAAAAAAAAAAGAAAGAGCAAGGTAAATATCTGTAGAGAAAAATTAGCAGGTTCTGATATCCTTTTATGCACGCTGTTAACGCTTTTAGTCTTTAACAATGAATAATCAAGCAAGTAATATACATTATTCTTTATGTGCAATAAGAATATTACCTATCGTTTTATGCGCCTAAATCGCCCGATCGCGATGAGGAACGCTGAAGTGGAAGACTTCGGAAATTTAGGAAATGTTGTGTTTCTAAGTGCACTGATATCGCACAGAGCAAGGCCTTCAAGCATTTCGCCTTCAATTAGGCGCGACTGCTGTGGCCAGGATCGTATTTGCAACCTTCAGGTTCGCAGCTGGACACTGTCACTATTGCTCTGCCGCGTCGGACGAGGTCTATGTGCAGGGTCACGTAAATGATGAGGTTGGGGTCAGCCAAAGTTGGGCAGAGTATATTAGATAACTTCGCATATTGGCTAATCATGATTTAGTTTTGTTTAGATTTTGAAGTGTGCTTACTTCCCTTCTTTGTGAAGTGTATGCGAGAAGGCCTTAATTAGCAATAATAAATTAATTCAAAAGTTTCAACAGCGTAACTCAAAGCGGGCAGAGTAAACGTTCAATCGGAAAAGAAGTTCATGCACAGTTCAGTCGTTGCGTTTAACTTTACCGCAATGAACCGATTTTTGTGCCAACGCTATTGGGTTAATGGGATGATTTCACTGACATTCAAAGTAAGAATACCGGGCCCACGCAATGTTTACCGAGGTTTATGCGCTTGACCACTTTTTTTGACATTCTTGATTTGGTCGTTGGCAGTTGGAGAAAAAAGAAATAGCCCGCGCAAATAACGAAATTGCGAGCGTTTTCTGACAAATTTACGGATATTCCTTCTCTTTTTTTCTTTTCTACAGATTAACAGCGGTCCTATATAAATAGTCATGATTAGTTGTAAATATTCGTAAATAATATGTGAATGTCAGTTTCCGATTTAAGATATGCTACAGAATCAGAGAAATGGATCGCAAAAGGTATGAAAAATAAAGCATGGCTTCTAAGTGATGCATTTCACGCTGCTAGAAGACAGTCCAACTTTGGCGCTTCGGTAATAATCCCAGTCAAGTGCCGCCTTCATTTCACGTGGAGACACGGCCACTCGTTAAAAAGGTTAATGAGAGAAAGTTCAAGGTAATAGTACATCGGACTCGTGTTATAGAATGCGTATCAGCCGTGATATGCTGTGTCAATAAATTCACAGTCATTGTACAAAGAAATGTCAATTCGATACACTGATGGCTCAGGCATGCTAGTCATTCCTTATTCACATGACTGCAAAGCGCCCCATATTGAAAGGGAACACAGACCAGAACATAGCACACACACGGGCTTCTAGAAAAAGAGAACGCTCATCAATTGCCCACAGCTTTTTCAGCGTATAATTCTCAACCTGTAACCATCTTGACACCAAATGTAACAGCGAAACAGTACATTATGGAAAGTACAACCACATACCTAAATTACCACATGCAAAACAATACACAAAGATGAGGCTTTTCACGAAGATGCTCCACTTAGCACGTGGAGTCAAATTCACCTGTTCTTTACGATATAGCTGACTTGACGTCTCATTGGTCGTCCAATAGCCACTATATATTTCTATCGCTCTCCAAAATTGAGAGCTCACTGACAATCACTCAAGAAAAATATCTCGCCCTCAGTGCTCATTGAAGATCACGCTTATTATTGCTTTTTTTTCACAACAACATTAACTAGGACGCAAACTCGCCAAACTATTACTCACTTAAACTCGCACAGACTCAGACTCATGATTCTATTTAGTCTGGGTGAGTTACTCACCAGTCTATTAGTTTTTATTAGCTGTTTCATCCAAAGTGCCAATAGTTTTTAGCACCTATATGTAGCATAAGCAGCGCTCTGGTTAGCAATTTTAATCTCATATTTCCAAGTACGAGTTGTCAGTGGTTGCCGTACACTAAGAAAGTTTCTCCTAAAAATGATGACTCATCTAGATGGTTTTGACAGGAACTTTCTTTGAGAACGAGTGAGAGAGGGTCAAGTCACCCCACTCGCCTCCGTAACTCACGCATCTATTCAAACGATAACAGAGCTGGCGTAGGAACGCTATTGTGTTCATGTACAAATAAGCATGATTAGCATAAATGTCAGCCGACATAAGGCCGGTAGTAACAGTGGAGCTAAGCTGACTGGAGAGGACGAGAAGTCGGGAAAACAGTACGGAGCGTAAAAATGGAGGTAAAGCGGGCTTGTTGGTATCTATATATACTTGTTTCAAACGCCTGTGTTTTGTAATGTCATCTGTGTCCTTTGCTGTTTGAGACGAATATGAAGCTGACTCAGACTCCTTTCGAAAAATTGATTCGAGCGTGAACCCACACACACACACACACACACACACACACACACACACACACACACACACACACACACACACACACACACACACACACACACACACACACACACACACACACACACACACACACACACACACACACACACACACACACACACACACTTATAACTATAACACTTATATATTCCAATAACTTATTCATAGCTCGAAGGCTTGAATATATACACAGGACAAATGTGCGCACTAAAACCACAGAAGGCCAACAGCATGCATTACCAATACGTGCAGTAAATTTCAGAGCCTAAAACCGAAAAACTGGAATTCGCTTGGTAACAATGATAGCGAAGGGGCGCTTATACACAGTGATGTTTGTTTAATTTTTTTTTCGATGGAAAAGGCCTCCAACACTTCACGTGCCGTTTTACTTGCGCTTCTGCCTAGAATCTGTCTCGGAGAATCGTGCGTCACAACCGCACAAGATCACGTGCGCAACCAAGTGGGCATACTTGTCACCTCGTTTTGTTAATTTTTGGGCGTGTTCCATGAACCGGCCGTTAACGCATCAGGCGTTCCGTTTGGCCAATGCTCACTTTTCCGCAGGATAAGGGTATGGAGAACACAATCCCCGTGGAACACTTCACAAAGGCCCTCCCACGCTTCCTCTCACAGCCGCGCTTCTTCCTATTGCACACACGTTGGCACAGTCTTCCGATTTTTTCCGGTGTGGAAAACAACATCGGAACGCCATGCCTGGCTGCGACTTTCTTCAGGTTGTGCGAGAACTTATGGATATATGGCACAACTTGTGGCCTAATCCTCAAGGGCTAGGTAGCAGTCATCGCTTCCCATGTTCCACGTTTAAACTTCTGCAGAAGTGATTCAGCGACGGCCATGATGACTGATCCAGGGAACCCAGCAGCCTCTAATTGGCTCACCTGATTGAGGAAACTAAGTTACATGCTGTGTGGGCACGACCTCCTCCACGCTGACTCCAAGCAAAGAGACGCATCACCCCTCTTCACAATCTTTGAGTGAGTGGGCAGAATCGCACGGCAGCAACTCCTTCTCAACACGAGGATGATAAGACCAGCAAGAATGCTCATCGTTCCACGTGAGGCTGAAGTCTAAAAACTGCAGACAAGCCTTTTGTGGCTATTCAATGGTGAAGGAAAGCCCTCGTCCTAAAGTCTTATAAAAACGATTAAAATAAAGTAAACGAATGTAAGGTATTCCTGCTTATTTAAAAGAATTAAAAAATTGTCAACGTACCTAAAAACCTTTAAAACCTCCCCTCCCCCCTTTAAAAACATTATTCAAGTCCCTATTCACATCCGCTAAATATATATCGTAAAGAACCAGCGCGACACTGGAACCAATGCAGATTCCCTGCCGCTGAAGAAAGGGCTTTTCGTCAAGCGTTACAAAGGTTACATTGAGATAAAATTCTAAAAGCGGCAAAAAATTGTGCACATTAACGCCTGCGTGCGGGGTTAATGCGGGCCTTACGGTATTACCCAAGGACATGAAGAACAGCAAAATGAGCAACCTCAACGCTCTTTTTCTCGGCCAAGACGCACGAACTCGAGGTACCTTTATGCACTATTGTTAGTAAAAAAGGATCATGGCAATTAAGAGAGATAAAGATGCAAGGAAAGGCAGGGAGGTTAACCAGACGCGCATCCTGTCTGCTACCCCGCACTGGGGAAGGGATGAAGGAGAGAAAAGAGGTTGCTTTAGAAAAATTGATTACGTTATCAGATTTCTTCAAAGCAAGCTAAAGATTCTTGTGGTGAATGAGCCTTTCCGTACGAAGGGCTCAAGTGATGTGTGCGACTTTTTGCGGACTCGTGATAGCACAGGCAACGCCTTTTCAGAGGATGTCGTCGATCTTTATTTTTCCGTGCCGCATGACAAGCTTCTAGCCTCTGTAAAATTCTTCATCGAAGAGAATGGCTACTTTTCTTTTAGCAATGATGCAGGCGTTAATGTCGACAGTTTTTTATTGCTTCTAGAATTTTACTTGAATGTAACTTTTATAACGTTTGACGGAAAGCTCTTCCTTCAGCGGCAGAAAATCTGCATTGTTTCCTGGGTCACGCCGGTTCTTTGCGATATATTTTTAGCGGATGGAGATAGGGACTTGAAAAATGCTTTTAAGGGGGAGATGGTTAGAAGTAATTAGGTACGTTGATTATTTTTTAATTCTTTTAAACAAGCTCAGACAACTTACATCTCTTGATTTTATTTTATACGTCTTTATAAGACTGTATATAGGACGAGGGCTTTCTTTCACTGTAGAATTGCCACAAAAAGCTTGTCTGCAGTTTTTATACTTGAGCCTCACGTGGAGCTATGAACATTTTTGCTGGCCTTGTCATCATCGCGATGAGAAGGAGTTGTTGCAGTACGATTCTGCCCACTTACTATATATTTGTGAAAGGGCGCGTTGCGTCTCTTTGCTTGAAGTCGGCGCTGAGGAGGTCGGGCCCACACAGCTTGAAACTTCAATCAGGTGAGCCGATTAGAGGCTGCTGGTTTCCCTAGATCGGTCATCACGGCCGTTGCCGAATCACTTCTGCAGGAGTTTAAACTGCAGAACACGGGAAGACGGGAAGCAATGACTGCTACCCAGCCCTTAAGGATTAGCCCACAAGTGGTGCCATATATCCATAAGTTCTCGCACAACCTCAAGAAAGTCGCGGCCAGGCACGGCGTACGTATGCTGTTTTCCACACCCGAAAAAATCGGAAGAGTGTTCCAACGTGTGTCCGATAGCAAAAAGCGCGGCTGTTAGAGGAAGCGCTGGAGGGCCTTTGTGAAATGTTCCACGGGGGTCGTGTACTCCATACCCTTATCCTGCGGAAAAGTGAACATTGGCCAAACGGAACGCCGGATGTGTTATTGACCGGTTCAAAGAACACGCCCGAAAATTAACAAAACGAGGTGACAAGTATGCGCACTTGGTTGCGCATGTGATCTTGTGCGGTTGTGACGCACGATTCCCCGAGACAAATATTCTAGGCAAGTAAAAGTGCAAGTAAATGTGCACGTGAAGTGTTGGAGGCCTTTTTCATTGAAAAAAAAATTAAAGATCACTGTGTAAGCGCCCCTTCGCAATCATGGTTACCAAGCGAATTCCAGTTTATAGGTTCTAAGCTCTAAAATACTTTCAGTGTATGTACTGACAATGTATGCTGTTGGCCTTCCGTAGTGTCAGTGCGCACATTTGTCCTATGTATATATTCAAGCTTCCGAGGTATGAATAAATCAGTTGGAAGTGAGCGTTGTGCGTGTTTGATGTCTGTGTGAGAGAGAGAGAGAGAGAGTAATTGCGTCGTGTGTTCGTGCTCGAATCAATTTTTAGGAATGTTGTATGAACTAGCCCGACAACAACTTCTTTTATAATGACTTAGACTCACTCACAAAGTATACCTCACTCTTGAGGTTCACTCGGACTTACATTCGTCGAAGTTTTCTGAACTTGAACTCATGGCTTACTAAATCATTACTGAATAGTATTAACCCACACTCAAACTGCCAAGAACTACTGGCCCGGACTCACACAGACTCAGACTCGTGGCTCGATCAGACTCGCATCGAGCCATGAGTCTGGGTCTGTGTGAGTCGACTTATGGATGAGTTTGCCGACCTCGGGACTTTGAAAACGAACGTGTGACTCTGGGTGCTTTGTCCGCCTACTTTGTTCACAGATCGAAGCACTGCCGGAGGTGGTTGTTGCTGTTGGGAACCGGATGGAAGTCTACCTGGACAGCGGTGTGCGATCTGGAGCCGATGCTGTGAAGGCACTCAGCCTTGGTGCCCGGGCAGTGTTCGTCGGGAGGCCTGTGCATTGGGGTCTTGCTTATAATGTACGCATTTCAACTTCGTGTTTTCAAGCGTTTGCGCAGATGGCATGGGCTGCTCGCCAACTACTGTCATTTACAGAACGTCATGGCACTGTCACAGGTTTTTCTAACAAACAGTCGCTTTTTTGTGTGTATATATCAGTGGAATCCGCCAGAAATGAAAAATAACTTATATGTGTGACATATGTGCGTTGCAGGTGGAACACTAGTAAGTAGTATGCAAATACATTTTAAAAAAGAATAAGATTGTTTCAAAAGAATCAACACTCTATGCAGTAACGAACATTGAAACATTATAACTTTGTTGAAAATCCTCGGGTTGTTTTCTGTGGTATCACGTATGCTGAGCCGCGTATCTGCGTCTAAGCAGTCAGGCGGGGATTCACGCTTAACAATCTCGTTGTGCATGCAGTACTAAACTGAGATTGACATTTAGATACACACTTATTTCACAATGTTTATTAAAAGCCGCTAATATATGTCTTCGAATTTTAAATGAAGAAACTGCGTGGCTGATTGAGTGAATCAATCTTCATTTCGTCTTGAATACTTTTTCTGAGAAAGGCACAGGAGCTAAAAGCGAGCAACACCTGACAGGTTGCTAGGGCTAGGCTTACGTGTAACAGTCAATACTGTTTGATTTTTCTTAATTTTGTGTTTATTTAACAATGGTAAATATAAATATAGAACGTCTGTGCAGGCAGAAGCATGTTCTACTGCATGACTGTGTGAACATTCAGGCTTTCTTGCAGGATCATCGAAGCTACGTATAGAACCCGGTAGCAACGAAGCTGTGAAAATATTTCGCCCCTATATATAATGAAATCCTATATCAAATACACAAAGGAAGTGATGCGATTCCAAACAAGGCATTCGCATTTGTATAACATGGTTTGCTCCCAGACCCAATATCACAGTCATTCTCATGTCGAGAAACAATACACACTGCAGACCATTTCTTACGTTTTCATCATGGTCTATTGTTGAGGTGAGCACTATATTTCAAAACTGTTACGTTTTCATCCTTTGAAATGCGAAGCATTTCTTGGCGAACTTCGGCGGCTTCGATTGTATCTACCCAGCCGCTTAAGTTTGGGTGCTCTCGTAGTCACCCCCTTGACTTAGCGTGAACCAAAATTAGCATGGGATGGTAAGATGGTTTGACGAATATGACGCGCTGGTCAAGACAACAATCCCGTCGCGGACGTCGTCAAACACTTTCCTCCAGACAGTGCCACATACTCACGGGGGGCTATGTGCCACTGTTATGCGGGTATGTGTCACAGGTGATAGACACTTAGTGTCTACCAAGGAACGACGAGAACACACTTGGGCAATTTCAACGCGCGAGCGTTAAGAAATACTCGACATCGGTAGCTTCGACCGACGAATGCAAACGATAAATGTCAGGGTCCCAGTTAGAATCGAACCCATTCTGCGTGGCAATGAAGCGTTTTACTACTGAGCTGCGGCATGTATCGGAACTGCTTCTCAAATTGACGCTAATCTTCGTGAAACGTCACTAGTGATTGCAACGCCGCCTATCCAATTTTATTAGCATTACATACGTACTTCTTGGATAGAGCCATCACGTCGGGTTTACGTCAATTGTGGTTAATTGCCATGCGTTGAACTTTAATTATGTAGCAGTGTCTTAGGCCAGTATCCTCGAGAGCATCAGCGCTTCATATCACCTTCTGGTGTTTCTAATCCGCATGTTTCAATTGGCATCATGCCCAAGTGCCAACAAGTGGTTATGTAAACATCTGCCACTCTTCAACATATGTCTGTGCGTGCAACACTTGTACATATATTTGGCGTCATTTCATGCCGTGTCACTCAATAAAAAAATTGAACACCGTCACCTTCTCTTGTCATGTTTCACATAACGTTGATGCCCAGGTACGTGAGATCTGCCGTATTTTTTGTACCTGGTTTTTAATGAGATTCTACAAGACCTTCACTTGAACAAAACATTGAAATTCAAACCTAACCACAATATCAGAGCACCAGAATTAATGACAATGTGAATTCCAGCGTCGATAACGCCAATAATGTTCAGACCCATTTATTTCTTTTTTTTTTCAATATATAGGGAAAAGCTGGTGTGGACAAGGTGCTGGAGATATTCAGGAGTGAATTTAACCGCACAATTCAGCTACTTGGTAAGTGGTCCTAGCATCTCTATTATGGTACGAGATACTCGTTTTCTGTTCCACATACCCGCCCAGTTTCCTGATCACCACATCACGCCTACTGTGAGCTTAAACTGCCCTGCCCTTAAGAATAAAATTTAAGAGTCCCTAAACATGATTCACATAAAAAACACCGCCAAAAACGAGAGACAAGAAAAAGAAGGAGACAGACAGCGGCACTGAACTTACCGACAGCGGCACTGAACTGGTAAGTTCAGTGCCGCTGTCTGTCTCCTTCTTTTTCTTGTCTCTCGTTTTTGGCGGTGTTTTTTATGTGAATCATGTCGTACCAACTCGCCCAAGCAACCACGTTAGCCCTAAACATAGCTTAGTCCTCCATCGCAAGAATCGGTGTAACACGAAAGTAAAACATGTCCTCGCAGTAGTAGTTGAATTTCGCTTTGCATTGATAAGGAACGATTTGCGCAATATCTACAAGTGTTTGGCCACTATAGAACCGCCTAACGTTGATTCGCCCATGGTGAATATTGGTGGTATAGCTCAATCCACACGACTAACGTCAATGGTTCGTGATTACACAGACCCTTGTAGCAGGTGTAGTAGGCAACGGGGAGAGCGTTAACCACTACACGTACTACAAGGCGTTAATGATGAAAACGATTGATCGCGCAGCACAACCGTTAACAAGCCACCCCGTTTATATAGGCACTGAATCCTGAACTTCCAAGGTATTGCCGGTGGGATATTTTTGTTGTGTGTTGCTGAACAATAAATATTCGCAGCGTGCGCCTTAACGTGGATGGCGGCTCTTCTGTCTCGCATTGCCCATTAGCAGCAATAAGCATGTTCTAGTAACAAACGCCAGTCCAACACTGCATGCTTTGCACCTCCCCTTGTTTCTCTCTTGCGTAACGCCGCCAAAAGCGCCAGTGTAAGCGTTAGCGCCCGCTGCTTCACATGTACATATAGTTCTTTTTAGTGGGAGGTGGTGTAATGTTTTCATATTCTTCTCTTTCTGTGTCTGTTTTTTTTTTCATCCCTCAGTCCTCTTCCCCAAGTGTATAGCAAACCGGGCGCTCGTCTGGTTGAACTTCTTGTCTTTCCTTCTTCCTCCTCCTCCTCCTCCTCCTCTTTGCAACTCCGCGAATGATTGGTGAGCAATTCCTGCTCAACTGAAAATTCCCAGCAGTTACTTTTAAGGAAGTATATAGTAAATGAAAGGAATACGCCTATAAACTGCCAAATAAACTAAGAACTGAATGTAAACACACATGAGTGAATTCTATGGTTAACTTCTAGTTCGAAAAAAAAATCATAGAAGTGCTTTACTGAAACGAAAACAAAATTATTGAAAAGTGAATGAGAAGCTATATTTCTGATTAAACTAAATGAATAAAACAGTATGCAACGCAGGTTCGCTTGTCATACGCCTTCACAGAGTGGAAAGTTCATAAATTTTTTTCATAAAGAATATCGTTCTTACTTGCAGGGGTGCCAGACGCCAAGAGTTTGTGCACTGACTTTATCGCCCGCGAATCGGGCTACTCACAGCCATTGCACCGAAACTGTGCGCCGAAAAATCCGTGGGATGATTTGCTCAAGTACAACATTGGAAATTAGGTCTCACAAAGAGTTACGAGGCTATCAAATACGAAACACAAAATATATTTCGAACTATTGCTACTTTTCTTTCTTTTAATAAAACGACATGAAACAATAAAGTGAAGGAAATTTTTGTTGCTCTGTGTGTTGATGACACAAAGATTTTTGTTTTTATTTTGGGGGCACGCGCCAGGGTGGGTAATTTTTGTTCTACGCAAAAGTGCTAGAATGAATGTTTTAGCGTGATTCAAAAAACTTCTTGTGCTGTAGTTCCGCCGTCGGCGTCAACGTTGGCGCCATTGGTAGAGAGCGAAAAAATGTGTTTCTTGTCCATGGCAAAAAATTAATAAAAACTAAAACTTGTGTGGCCTGACGAAGAAAAACACTATATGAATATTGTGTTGTCAAGGAATTTTTATCACTTCTTATATTGCGTGGCACAAGCATTGAATCACGTTATCCGTCAAAACATGTGAATTGAGCAACCAATGGCTCTTCTTGATAGATTGATATGTGTGCTTGAACGTCCCAAAACCACCATATGATTATGAAAGACGCCGTAGTGGAGGGCTCCAGAAATTTTGACCACCTGGGGTTCTATAACGTGCACCCAAATCTTCTCACAGAGTCCTACATCATGTTCACCTCCAATGAAAATGCAGCCTGCGAAACCGAGATTCCATCCCACGACCTGTGGGTCAGAAGCCGAGTACCTAAGCCGCTAAACAACCACGGCGGGGTAAATGGCTGGTCTTAAGGCTCACCTATGAAACTGCTGACATATTCTATTATCAGCAGCAGAAGAACAATAAACAGAGTGATCAGCTGAGTAGGTTGAATTGTTCCCCAAAGGAAGCTCAAATGGGCCTCTCGCTGATTCCCAAAATGAGTAATTATGACGCAGTGGGCACTTAACAGGTGTTCCTGCAGTAGGCATTCACTGATACTTTAAAACAGCCAATCTTGCACGCACAGCGTACAGTCGTTCATTTTCTCTATGCGCTCAGATTTGGGTGCACGATAAAAAACTCCAGGTGGTCAAAATTTCCGGAGCCCTCCACTACGGCGTCTCTCATAATTATATAGTGGTTTTGGTAGGTTAAAACCCGACATACTAATCAATCAACGTTCATGTTCTAATGGTACGCTTGAGGCACGCACTGAAAAACGAACGAGGCTAGTAATTCAGTAGGTGATGCATGCGAGGCCTGATGACGATTTCACAATGTGCTCCTGAAGACGAAGCTCAGGCACCTTTAAATTTTCAAATGACATTTCGCATTGTATTCTGCAACAATGAATCGGCGCAAATCACGCATTTTGACTTGTGGTGGGATTCTACTTTTTGCCAGCAAATAGTAGATATGTTAACGCTATTCCTTGAAAGTCATCATCATCATCAGCTTGACTACGCCCACTGCGGGGAAAATGCCTCGCCATTTTCTGCCAATCAATTGTGTCCTGTGCTTGCTACTGCCACATTAACTAGCACAATTCTTAGTCTCGTTCACGCATATGTTTCTCTGTAACTGGGTTGTATGCATTACTCCAGAAAAGTAGCTGATTATTTTACTTGTTGCATTAACCAAATGGAAAGGCGTTTTATATTAAAAAAAGAAAACATTTGCTTTACCAGTGTCATTACCGAGAAAAATGCGTAGGTTACTTTTGCCATTACTCCGTTATTCCGTATTTTATTCGTCGCATCCTCCATGTAGAACGTTAAATACAAGTTTTAAAGAGCCGAATGCTAGTGCTCACAAAATTAATGCACCAGTTTGTAGTACTAAAATGCTAAAATGGCGTTAATTCAGAAACAAATATGTGCATACAAGGTTTTTTTTTATTAACCTGCATAATTACTCTAAAATATCGAATGTGTTTGAAGCTGTTTAGGGTGAGCTTCACTCGCTAAGGAATACAATAGCAGAACCGCACATGACAAGACACAACGGTAATTTTGAAAACGAAGTTTACATGCATTTCAGTTACGTTCTCCAAGCCGATTTACAGTTCAAGGCACCCAGAGGACAGTGTGCTTAACTTGTGCTCAGATTCAGGTTGGCGTTAATTCAGCGCACGCACACAAAAAAATAAGACGAGGACAAGAAAGTGCACACAACAAGCACTTACTCGCAACTGAAAGCTTCATCGCGTGAGCCTAAAATATATAACATCTAAAACTTGACACTCGAATAAATCCATGCGCATCATGGACGACGTAAAAGGAAAGAAACCAAAGCTAAAACTCACCTCCTGCAGCCCCCCTCTCCCCAGCGGACTGCCGCCTTTCCTTGAGTAGTATCGCTTCCTTTTCCGATAAGGTCAAAGAAGGATTGATAACGCACAAAGAAGCACTCACGTTAATATGGAGAGCCTCGGCAAGCGCCCTAATAAAGCAGTGCCAACTCGCTCGCTTCTCGTTTTCGTGCTTGGATTGTTTAATAGGTTTCTTGCAGGCGATTCCGTGCCACTGTTCACTTGGTCCGAAAGCTGTAATGCTTTCAGGTAGAAAAATCAACGTCATATCGCTATTGACTTTGCACATATAGTTATTGATTGGGTTTTAGGAATTCAAGTGAGAGTATCCTTAAACATAACACGACAATGCTACAGCCCGATTTCAACATCACATAATTAACGATTAATATTAGTAGGAAAAATAAAACGCAGTGATTGGCATTACCACTCATCTTTGGACTACCTTTCCAGAGGGCCATTGTTGAGAGACAACTTTGCTTATTGGAGTAATTTGGCTGCATACCAAGCTGCAACGAACTATTAAAAGTCTTAAACACTTCACAGAAATTACATGTTGCAGTTGTAAGTAGTACAGAACTAGGAGCAGTCTCTGCAAGTGTGTAATACATTGCATTTCCTGCTGCCCGGAGTTCCCGATTGTTATAATGGATGTCTATGAACGTGTCCCCACTCTGATCTTGCATTATGTCCCCCACGGTCCTTTACTGCCTCCACAGGTTCTGGCATGTGTTTCATCAGACACTCGCATGGCATTTAACCATACCGTCAGCACAGTTAGGGCTTATTGGCTGCATGCCAACATTGCCTAAGAGAAATTTTAACAGATTCACGCTCAATATTTCATTTGCTCAGACGTGCGCACTCACAAGGGGGAAACTAAGACAATGCTCATTTTACCATATGGAGAAGTAGCACACTTCTTACATTGTTCTGCCACGCTGCGGTGGTCTACTGGCCAAGGTACTCACCTGCTGACCTGCAGGTCTCGGGATGGAACCTCGGCTGCGGCGGCTGCATTTTCGACGGAGCATTTTTTACAGAGGCGAAAATGCTGTATGCCCGTTTGCTCAGATTTGGGCGCGCGTTAAAGAACCCCAGGTGGTCGAAATTTCCGGAGCCCTCCACTACGGCGTCTGTCATAATTATGCGGTGGTTTTAGGACGTTAAACCTCACTTATCAATCAATTTGGTGTTGTTTTATAAAACAATGCGTCAGCCGACATCCCAGCCCATTGTTCCTTATACACCCACAGCGTAAGTAACTGTTGCAGCTAAGTATCCCCTACACGCCGCATCGCACCAGTTTAAGAACAAAAATAATGGGATTGTCATTTCGAAAATGTCGATGCCTTTGCGTGTAAGTTGTTATGAGAGGAAATTCATTGAAATGCACTCAGTCTGAGCAATCGCAGGCTGTGCCAAGTGATCCGCCCTCACTTTGCACCCCACTCAGTACCTTCTCGGACCACGTGTCACGCGCTGGCAAATAAAACACCGATTGGTAACAGCTTCAAGTGAACACGCACTACAGGCAATGCACTGTCCGTGATGACCTCAACTGTGGAAAAGTATGCATTGACCAGTCGGGACGCTGCATAAGTGTACAGTGGCGGTTAAAGTTTTGTGAACCATGACAGCGCGTGTCAAACAGAAGCGCGCATGGGGCGTCAGTTTTTCGAAAATCTACCTTTGTGACAAGCTCATTTAACACCTTTCATTCGTGAAAGAAATGTACGCCGGAATCGCTCACGGTGTTCTGTGGCAATGTCTTGCGGAGCGTCTGGAAATAAGGCGCAGAATGCGGCGCGCACCGAACACTGCCACCACAAATCACGTCTTTTTTTTTTTTCTCAATATCAACGCTCGGTGTTTCCGCAGCGACAGCAAAAGTGACACCCTGCAGCTGCTAGTGTTACGGCGCCCGGGCTATTGAACAGAGTGAGCGAGCAGACTGAAAGGTGAAAAAAAAAAAAAGACGCGCGTGCGCAGTGCGCGCTCTTGAGCTTCGCAGGCAGCCGTCAGAAGGCGCCGCGGTTGGCTGACATGCGCTCTCGTGGTCTGAAAAAGTTTGACCGCTACTGTAAGTTTAAGATGGCATCAGTCAACATCTTTCAGCGCGCTAAATGGAGCGTGGCTGCTATTTTGTTTTGCATAAAACTGAAATAATTATCGCCAGTGTTCCTCGGCTATCTAATGAGATCACCGAAGCTTTCCTTGTAAGAAAACGGGAGACCAGCTTGTCAGCCAACCTTCACTTTTGCTGAATGAGGATAATTTGTATTCCTTAATAGCATATTCAAATATCTGCATGGTTAAGCCTAAATAATCGTGTTTTGATTGCGTGAACCTTTTTTCTTGACACGTATGCATCAGACAGTTATTTGTCGCATTTATGTGTTTCCTGTCTCTACAAATATTTCAGTTGCAAGTAAGTGCTTGCCTGGTATCTTTGTTTTTTTCTCATCTCCTTCTGTGTGCGGTTAATTCAGGTAAACCATGCAAAGACATGTTTGCTTCCGGAATTTTACTAGTTTGATTTATTAGCTGAAGTTTTCTATCAAATGTTTATACACGAATACGTTTCAGCTATGTGTATCTATCAAACGTGGTCTCCCCATAAAAACAAAAGGGTGTAGTAAAGAGCTATTTCAATTTATAAAAGCTCTCTTAACATTGTATGCCATGGATACATGTGACGTGCTTGCATGTATTGTAAAACAGTATTCTAGTGGTCAATATTTAAACTCTCAGATTCCGATTTCAATACCATGTAGATTCATTTCTTCGAGAAACTACCAGTTAAGCCATAATCAAGCCAGGAATTGATTTTTCTTGTTTTGTACACGATTAAGTAACTCTCTATGCGTGACACAGACG